CTACCCTTCTATTCATTTCAAGATAATTTGCTCTTACTTGTTGGAGCATTTTTATAATAGCTGTTTTAAAGTCTTGTTTAGATAATTCTAACATCTGTGTCATGTCTCATCTCAGCAGTGGCGTCTTTTGATTGATTACCTTTTCAATAGGCAATCAATAGTTGAGATTTTCATAGTTCTTCATGTGCTGAATAATTTTTGGGTCGTATCCTGGACATTTTAAAAAATTTATTTTTATTTATTTATTAGAGAGAGAGAACGAGCAGGGGGAGAGGAGAAGCAGACTCCCCACTGAGCAGGGAGCCTGATGTGGGGCTCGATCTCAGGACCCTAGGATCACAACCCGAGCCGAAGGCAGACGCCCAACTGACTGAGCCACCCAGGTGACCCATATCTTGGACATTTTTAATATTATGAGATGGGGCCTTGTGTCTTGTGTTAATCTTATAGAGGAGTATTCATATTTTTGTTTTAGCTTGTAGTCAACATGGTTGGGTCCAAATCAAAAGTTCTGGCCTGCCTTTTGTGGATCATGGCTCCAAAGTCAATTCAGTCTTCAAAAATTTTGCAGGGCTATTTTGACTTGCCCAGCAAGTGTTTTATTCAGTGGCTAGTTTCAGATCTGGGTGGTGATCTGTCTCTTAGTTCGGTTTTCACAGTCTTTGGTATGCTGTTTAGGATAAGATCCACATGCAGGTTAGGGTGAACCTAGGAGCTCATAAACTCTATAGGGTTGTTTTCCCAAGTTGCTCCCTCTCCAAAATCTCGCTGGGACTTTGCAGTTCCTTGGAGTTCCTCTTTTCAATCCTTTGGCAAGAAATCTGAGTCTTTATTTACTTCTCTCTGGCATGCACTTCCTGCAACTTCACCCATGTCTGGAGCCAAGCGGCAGGAGGAAGAAAAGAGAGAGAAAAAGGTGTATCAATGGGCATTTGCCTCCACTGACTTGGGACCATGGCTATTCCAAACCAGAGAGGAAGGTTTCCCCCTCCCTCAGCATTTTAGGTACTTTGGCAGCACTGCTCCCTCCATTGTCACTGTTGACTCAGCCACAATGGGGGATTGCCTATTGGCAAGGGTGTGAGAGAATGGAAAAAGGAAAAATTGGTGTACTTCCCTACTCTCTCTGAACATTAGGAGGTCTATTTTCTGCTCTTCTTGGTGCTCTCTCTGTCCATGTCAATGCCCCCTTCTGGGCTTGGACTGCCTTCAGTTCAGTCCAGTGGCTACTGGAGGGAAAAATTGTAAACTCATTGCCTGTTGTTTTACTTCATTTTTTTTCTTTTTTAAAAAGATTTTATTTATTTATTCACGAGAGACACACACACAGAGGGGGGGGGCAGAGGGAGAAGCAGGCTCCCAAGGAGCAGGGAGCCTGATGCGGGACTCGATCCCAGAACCCTGGGATCATGACCTGAGCTGAAGGCAGACGCTTAACCATCTGAGCCACCCAGGCGCCCCGTTTTACTACAAATTCTGGTGCTCTGCCTCAATTTACCTGGTACAATTGATATTTTTAGAGTCCTCAAATAACTGATCCCCGCATTCTGTTCAGTAGGAGAGAATGGGTTGAGTGTGATTATTCTGTGTTAACTGGAATCAGAACCCCTGTATTGCATAGGTTAGTTTTCATATATAAACCTGTATAGATAATTGAGCATTTTCTTTGGTGTAGATTTGTGAATACTTGGGACAAATCTTCTCATACTCTACCTGAGGCAATCTCTTTATAGCATAAATATTCTTCTGGTTATCTACTGTTATGGAAGAAATCACAGTTAAACTTAGTAGCTTAAAACAACATAAATCATTATGTGGTCATCCCATAGATTCAGGCATTGATTAGGCTCAGCTAGGTGGTTCTTCCTTGAGAGTCTCTCATACGCTTACCATCAGATGGTGGCTGGGAATAAAACAATTTGAAGGTTCACTCATTCAGGTGTGGGGTATTTGGGCTGGGAACACTAAAAAAAGCTGTCACTCCCATGGTGTTTGTCTGTATGGCTATGTTGTCTCGACCATGGTTTCTGCAGCATGGCAGCTTCAAGGTAGATCAATTTCTTTTTAAAAAATTCCCAGCTTTATTGCGATATAATTGACATATAACATTGTGTAAGCTTAAGGTGTACAGCGTGTTGATTTGATATACTTACATTTTCACACTAGGACTACCACCTTAGTGTTAGCTAATACCTCCATCATGTCACATAATTACCATGCCTCTCTGTGGTGACCACATTTAAGATCTACTCTCTTAGCAACTTTCAAATATGTACTACAGAATTGTTACCTGTAATCACAACACTGTGCATTAGATCCCCAGAATGTCTTCATCTTAAACTGCAAGTTTGTATTCGTTGACTAACATGTCCCATTTATCTCACCTCTCAGCTCTTGGTAACCAATATTCTACTCTCTGTTTCTACAAGTTCAGCTTTTTTAGATCCCACATATAAGTGAGGTCATACATATTTGTCTTTCTCTGCCTGACTTATTTCACTGAGTTATGGGATCTCAAGATCCATCGATGCTGTTGCAAATGGCAGGATTTCCTTCTTTCTCATGGCTAAATATTCCATTGTGTGTATATAGAGCTATATCTACATATCCCAATCTCTCTCTCTCTATATATATATGTGCATCATATTTTCTTTATCTAGTTATCTATTGACAGACACTTAAGTTGTTTCCCTATCTTGGCTATTGTGAATAATGCTGCAATAAACATAGGAATGAAGATATATATTTGAGATCCTGTTTTTACTTTCTTTGGATAAATACCCACAAGCAGAATTTCTGGATCATGTGGTAGTTCTATTTTTAATTTTTTGACGGACCTCCACACTGTTTTCCATAGTGGCGGTATCAATTTACATTCCCACCAACAGTGCATGAGGGCTCCCTTTTCTCCACAGGCTCGTCCACATTTGCTGTCTCTTGTCTTTTTGATGATAGCCTTTCTAACAGATGTGATGTGATATCTCACTGTGGTCTAGATTTTTGTACACGGCAGCTCAGGGCTCCAAAATGAGTGGACAGCAAGAGTGTGAGAGTAAGTCAGGCAGGAACTAGATTGTCTTTTATGACCTGGTTTCACAAGTTTTGCAGTCTTTATTGCCACATTGTATTCTTTGAGGCAGTCACAAGGGTCCACTGAAGTTCAAGGGGAGAGGGAACACAGATACCACCCTTTGATGGGGAAGTGGCAAGTTCTGGAAGAGCAGGTGCAATGGGAAATACGGTTGTGGGCATTGTTTGAAAATACGATCTGCCCTAAGTACTAAGAAGTCTGCAGAGAGAAGTTCTGTCCTCGACTTACAGGAACGCAAGAGGGTGTAATATTAAATACTATGATCAACATAACCAGTTTCCAGCAAACGTGGATTTTAGTGTATCTCCAGAAACTAGATCATCTTCCTGTTGTTGTATAACTTTCTCTGTGACTATCCAGGTTTTTGGTGTTTGCAATTTCATTGGGAACCTGCATGGAACTTCAAGATATATGGATTTTTGCAAGGGCTGGGGTACAGTCGGGACGAATTGGGAACAAGGCTAGCTAAAATCTTGAAGAGATTCCCCTGCTTTAAAGAAGGTACTAAGCAGCTTGCCAGAGTGTTCACCTAGAGGGGAACCAGGAAGGCTGCAGTGCCCCAAATATCCTTCCTACCTAATGCCATCCCTACCCTATTCTTATTACTCTTTACTCTTTTTAGTTAAGCTTTGCTTTCTTCAAGAAATTCTCTTAAATATGCAAACTCCTCTGGGAGAGAAAACGTGAACGGTTGGTATGAATTTCAGAGCAGTTCAATAAACTTATGAGCACAGGGTTAGACACTGGGAATTCAGTGATTGAGAATTTCGTCACTCCAGGGGTGCCTTGCTGGCTCAGTTAGGTAGAGCATGCAACTCTTGATGTTGGTGTTATAGGTTCGAGCCCCATGCTGGGTGTAGAGATTACTTAAAAATAAAAACAAATCTTAAAAAAAAAAAAAGAATTCAATCTCTTTTCTTCCTTGACCAGAGGAACAAGTTGGATTGAAAATTCTAGTTCCTGAGGAATTGTTCCAAGAGGCGTTATCCTCCAGAGTCCACTCTATAATTTTTTTCCAGAGCTGTCCTAAGAATCATCCAAAGACTCCCTGGGCTACCATAAGGTCAACATAAAAGGGCCACCAGGGTAATCTCCACCCTCACCCCCCGCTGCTCATCTAGCAGGAATGGCACGTGTTCAGTTCCTTCTGGTTCAACCCTGTTCCCCAAGAGGGCTAGTTAACACAGTCCAGAATAAGAAGTCAGTCTAGTCCCCAAGGGGTGAAGGAGCTATTTTAACGCTTGCACCCCATTCCAACCCGTTATCAGTCCTCACTTTGGGACAGACTTAGAGCAGAGGTTTGAATGAAGCCTGGTAGAGTCTGGGAGGCCCTGAAAGCTGGAAGGCACTGTGAGAGCTGTGGAAAGAGAAGTGGAGGCGGCAACGCTGCTTCGCGAATCTTCGCTTCCCCCAGGCCCCGCCCCCTGTCCCCCCCCCCGTTTTACTGGGCTCAGGACAGCCGCACACTGGCCTGAGATGGAACGCTTCGCGGTGGCCCCAGAGACAGGACCCGAGATCCCCCAGCGCGCGAATCCAAGCTGACGCTCCTGCCAGGCACCGGCGACCTCTGGCGTCGCGATTAGGAAGCGCGTCGGCGACGGCCCAGGAACGGGCCCCGCAACCCCAGACGGCCCGGCCAGGTACGCCGGGACCGCGCGAGGAGCGCAGGCAGGCCCGGGGCCGACGGCCGCTTCCCCTGAGTCGGAGGGCCCCCGCCTCGTGGGCTTCGGCGGCCGGGAGCGCGGCCCGCAGAGCGCGGCGCGGCTGGGGGCCGAACAGGTGCGCGGGCGGGGGGGGCGGTGCTTGGCGATCCTGCGCACTGCGCGCGCCCCTCCCCCACGCGGCTCCCGGCGCAGCCCCGGCCCGGCGCGCGCGGGGGGAGGAGCTGCGGCGGCAGCGGCCACTCGGGCAGGTCGGCGGCGCCGCGGGAACCCGCCGACGGCGCGGGCTGCTGGTCCCCCGCGCGCAGGAGGCGCGGGCGGCCCTGGGGACCATGGAGCCTGGTGACGCGGCGCGCCTCGGCCCGGGACGGGCGGCCCGGGCGCTGCCACCGCGGCTGCTGCTGCTGCCGTTGCTACCGCTGCTGCTGGGTCGGGGGCTGCGCGCCGCGGCCGCGGCCTCCTCTGGGGCGGCGGCCGAGGACAGCAGCGCCATGGAGGAGCTCGCCACGGAGAAGGAGGCGGAGGAGAGCCACCGGCAAGACAGCGTGAGCCTGCTCACCTTCATCCTGCTGCTCACGCTCACCATCCTCACCATCTGGCTTTTCAAGCACCGCCGGGTGCGCTTTCTGCACGAGACGGGGCTGGCCATGATCTACGGTGAGCACCCCCTACCGCGCCTACCACCCCGACACCCCTCCGGCCGCCCGGCCGCTGCGCTCCCCCCGACCCCGCCCCGCTCTGCGCTGCGCTCCCCCTTCACTTGCCAACGTGTTTCTTTTCCGTTTCCCGCTGCCACGGGGTTGGTTCCCAAGGTCAACTGTCTGCATTTTCTGGCTTTCTCTTACCGTTAAAAAGAATTCCAGCCCATTTCGACGTTTCTTAATCGGGGAGCCAGGAAAATGAAAGGCACAGAGGTGGCCTGGTTCTGTCCGCCGGGTTCTGTTTTGCGCTGCCCGCCCCCCCCCCCCCGCATCGCTCTTCCGCACCCGCCCCCACCTCTGCCCCAGTTCAGCTCAACAGGGTCTGTGTGCCGCGGGGGGTGACTATCCTGGGGACCGCGTCACCCCAAGAAGCAGGCCACAGTGAGGGTGGGGGCGAGGGCTGAGGGTTTCTGGGCTTGGGTATGGGCGGCCGGGGCCTGATGGATGCCACACATCCATGGTCAACCTGGGTGAGCGCCCACTTCTGAGATCTATGTTCCCGGGTCTCTTGTTAACAAAGTCGGAGCCTGAAGCGCTGTGAAAGGTGAGCGTGGTCCCGGATCCAGAGTGGTGCACCGACGTGATCAGGCCTAGTCGGGTATATGGGCACGCCTCCCGCTCTTCTGTCCAGGTGGGACGTTATACCCAGGTACTTGGCTTCTCCAAGGGAAGAGGAGCTTTTGTGTTCTTCAGATTTTAACATGGACGTGACTTTGAAGATCCGTTTATAAGTGGATGAAGAGGAAAAGTAGTGAGTGGTTTTAACTCCGGAGTCAGCCATTCTTTTGTTGTGAAGGGTGGGCTGATGCCACCTTCCTTTTCTGGATTTAATAACACATGCTGTGTTCCGCTCAGAGTGGTCTGCACAAATCTTCCATTATTACATGGATGTCAGTTAACTGTAATCTGAATCATCCCTCTCACCACACCCCCCCTCCCGTTATGACTCCAAAGTAGAAATGTATTCTCTTTTTGAATTGAATTCAGCGGAGTTAAGGCCCAGGTGGGCATCCACATGGGAAATAGATGAGCCCACTTCATGACTATTCCCAGTAGGGAACGTTTTACTTCATCACTTTTACTGGAGGGATCTCTCCATTTAATTTCCATTCAGGGTTCTCTGATAAAGGATGGAAAGCAGAAACCTGAATCTTTAATGTGAAAATTACCCTTGGCCCTGGGCCTTGCTTCTCGGGGCTCTTGATCGGTCGTTGACAGCCCAGGCTCATGGCCACCAAGGTTACAAAGTGCTGTCAGGATCCCTCTAGTTTTAAAGAGGTAGAGTTCTAAACAGATCTGTCACTGAACCAGGACCAGGTCTAAGACTGAGTTTGGTTATTGCAAATTACAGATGTGAACTCAAACTTTGGCCTCGATACCTGGCCACTCTTGAGCTCTGTGGTTTGTGTCAGTGGGTGACAAATGACTAATGCCAAGGCTGCAGGTAAGCTAGGAGGCCTACTGAGCAGCTAGCAGGGTGGGGAGTTGAAGCATGTTGTCATTTCAGGTGGCTGACTCTGAGAGATAATGCAAATGAAGATTACCCTTCTATGTCTATAGATAACTATGAGAAGATTTTTATTTTATAGCCTCTAGATCCATTTCATTAAAGCACAGCGTAGAATACTTCCAGAAGGTAGATTGGACAGGCTCATAAATACACGTTCGAGCGCATGGAAAATGAGAATTTAAAAATATTTTTTTTTCTGAGGGAGTACTCCATGTTCTTAGGAGCTCAGTCACCTTTATCTTAAGGCCTACAAACAATAGTGGAATTTTCCTGTGCTGATTATGTACTTTTTAAACTCATCTCAACCTTTTAGTCGTTGGGGCCCTGCTGCAGTGTACCGTGTCATTTTGTGGTACTGAAATCTGGTTTAATTGATGATTGTTCAGAAAAGGCAACATCATCTCATAACATTCTGTGTCATTTTCGGTTTTAGTGTTACTTTGAAATATACTAAGAAATTTAGTTTGTCAATATGCAATGTCCTAGGTTCTGCCAGATACTAATATTCTGATATGAATGTTTTGCCTGTAACTGTGAGAAAACAGTTGTCTGTCTCATGGATATCTAGTCTTCTGTTTTAGCGCACACACACGCTTCATTTGAATTCTAATGTCATTTGATTAGCTAATTATTCATTATTTTATGGAGGCTATTGGGATAGGGATTCTGAGTTTTAAAAATTCAGTATGAAAATCTTTGAACACTTAAGCGAATATAGTACAGATTTTCAGGACTTCTCTTTGTTAATAATAGTAAGAAAACAGATTTCATTTCTTGATATCAGTAGAGGAAGTGAGTAATTGTCCTGTTGCCTCTGAGTAATAAAGGACAAAAAGACCTAAGGAAACATTTGTTAAGTATCTGCTGGGTGTCGGGTGCCCAACTTAATTTCTGGAGATAAACAATTTCATTTTTAAATGTTGGTAAGTTTTTGAGTGAAAAGAGTTCAACTGCAAGTTTCAAAACTCTTTGAAATTTAAAAAAATGTTAATTTCTGCCCCTTTAAAAATATTTAAGCGGCACTTTAATCTGCAAGGGAAAGTTTTAATATTTATAATAAGTTATGATATATATATATAGCCATATTAAAACAAATTGTGATTATATAAGTTTGCTGATATAAAATATTGCTGGAAGGACAGTCAGTAGACTAGTAACATTGGCTTTTTTTTTTTTTGCTGGAGAGGAACTAGGTGGCTGTGACATGAGGTGGGAGAGAAACATCACCATATACCCTTTTGTGCTTTCCGATTTTTGAATTATGGAAGCCAAATTACCTCTTGGTGTGTCCTCGCCTCCATTCTGTGGCATTTGTGATGGCATTTTAAGATGCTCCTCAAATCCAGTTTGATGCCCACTTCTCCCCATTTTAAACTTTACGTTATCCATTTTCTGTGACCTTTCAACTGTTGATTGTACCCATGGAACTTCTGGAGCCCTGTGCCTGGAATGGACACCAAATGGGAAAGGGGAAAGAGATTTTCCTTCCTTTCCCTCCCTCCTTTTTATTTCATTATCCCCAGCGAAGAGTTGATGTTTTACTAGGAGTGGCGCACGCCGAGAGATCCCATCTTAAGCGCTTGCTTAGATGCAGAGGACCCAAGGACAGTAAGAGACACACTGTGAATGCTCAACATTTAAATGGCAAGGTACAGTTACAAGCACTCCTCCCTGACAACAGACCCAGGTAGCTGTAAGGGCTGGTGACCACAGACCAGACTCTCCTCCAGGGACACTGAAAACAGTGTTCCCCCCCTCCCCCGCCCCGGCCCTGTGATGGGAGCTGCACACAGCAGTGGGCCGGGAGCTTACCTGGCAACCTGTTTTGTCAGGGCAGGGAGCTTCCAGCTGTCTGCCCCTGTACGTGACTAAGTGCCCTCCGAAAGTTCCTGGGCCCAGCAAATCTGTGCAGCAGAAATAGCAAGTGTTGGAGGCAGGGAAAGGTGGTATCAGCAGACTGTGTCAGTTAACTGTGGTTCTCTCTCATGTGTATGCTAGTCCCACTTCCCCCATACTGTTTTTATGACAACTGATACAGGTCCAAAATATCTCGCTTGGCCCTGGCAGCCCACCACCTGCTTCTCGCTTCCTCCATGGCTATCAGCTTTCCAAGTATGTGTTGGTCAGCCTCTCTGGGTCCCGCGGACCGTGGGCTCCTTGTTGCTTTGTCGGAGCTGAATTGCTAAGCGCGGCCCGAGAGGGGGTTCACAGGGGAAATACGACCCTTTGAAGTAGCATACAGTGAACATTTGGGCCTCTGTGTGAGCAAACATTTTGGAGCCACCCTATTAACCAAGGTTAATTGGGAGCCCTCTTTTTTTGTTGTTTTTTTTTTTGTTTTTTTAAGAGCCCTTCCCTTTGGCCCCGGTTTGGGGCAGCTCACTTTGGCACCACATCCCTTGGGTTCAGATGTTGGCTCTGTTACTTACAAAGCTGCATAATATTGGGTAAGCTCTCTGAGCCCCGCTTTCCTCTTTTCAAAAAACGGGGACAGTGTCACTCACCTCACAGGATTAGTGTATTATTGAGATGTTGTAAAGGTCAAGTGCAGTGGCTGATAAACACTTGGTAAGTACTAGTTCTCATTCTCACTTTAGACTTTGTGATTCTTTGGCCAGCTTTGCTACTTGAGGCTCATTCAGTAAAGGCCTGCCGTAATTTAATAATGCATCAGCAATCAGTTAGTGGGGATGAGCGGGACTGACTTTTTTTTTTTTTTCGGGTGGGCTATTTGTTAATACCTAGAAAAAATTTACAACATACCTACCCTACTCTTTTAGCCAGCAGTCTCAATTCTTGGACTGTGTCCTTCAAAAAATACTTGCACTAGCACGTTACATAGATGGCAATATTTGTTGTCCCAGAAGCAAGGGGCAATACTCAAGAAGGGACTGGTTAAGTTACAGCGCATTCCTGCCAAGGAATACTATGCAGCTGGTAAAAAAAAGAGGTGTTGTGCAGCTACCCACACATACCATTGTGGGGAAAAACAACAAGGTGCAGAATAGTCTGCATAGTATCATCTCATTTAGTCTTTAAAAATTATGTAAAGTATGCACGTAAACACGTGCACACATTTATATATGATCTATGCTTCTCTGGAAGCAGATACAAACTTACTTAGCAGTGGTTATCCTGCTGTTGTAGAACCAGTTGTTGGGAGAGTGGGAGGGGTGGTGGTACTTTTTTCCCTTTGTACTCTTCTGAATGGCTTGAAATTTCTATGACACTGACACATTACTTTTGCAATGGGAACTTTGTTTAAAAATAAAGCAACTTTCATGTAGCAAAAAATACATTAACACTAAGAGAACACAGGTGTTAGCATTTTCCTTGGATATTAAGATGTTCTTTTTAAAGGAATGTCTAGGCATAAAGAAAACTTGCAGTTATTTAAAAGTAATAAATGGAAATAAAATGAATCTTAAAATGAGAAAGTGACATTT